TTCCTTCCTTCCTTCCTTCCTTCCTTCCTTCCTTCCTTCCTTCCTTGATGGCCCAGTGGTTAGACTGCAGTATAGGCAACAGTTCAAATCTCACCAGGGCAGGCTCAAGATTGACTCAGTCTTCCGTCCTTCCGAGGTGGGTAAAATGAGGACCCAGATTGTTGGGGGCAAGAGGCTGACTCTGTAAACCACTCAGAGAGGGCTGTAAAGGTTTGAGAAGTGGTATATAAGTTTAAGTGCTCTTGCTCTTCCTTCCTTCCTCCCTCCCTCCCTCCCATCCATCCATCCATCCATCCATCTATCTCTCCTTCCTTCCTTCTTTCCTTCCTTCCTACCTTCCATCCATCTCTCCTTCCTTCCTTCCTTCCTTCCTTCCTTCCTTCCTTCCTTCCTTCCTTCCTTCCTTCCTTCCTTCTTTCCTTAATGCAATATTGCAGGCTAACTCTTCCCACTGCCAGCAGTTCGATCCTGACTGGCTCAAGGTTCACTTAGCCTTTCCATCCTTCCGAGGGGGGTAGAACGAGGACCCAGATTGTAGGGGGCAAGAGGCTGACTCCGTAAACCACTTAGAGAGGGCTGTAAAGCGGAATATAAGTCTAAGGGCTATTGCCCTCCGAGGGAACTTGCTTTATTTTTAGAAGCGATTTCCTGCCAAAGTGTGTTTCCTCCGGACGTTGGCTTACTCATCCAATGATGATTCTTTCTCCCCCCCGCCTGCCCTCCTCGCCAGCTGAATGAAATGTGACAAACCCCCACGTCCATCCGTTCCCCATCCCAAGGATGGGGAAGTGAAATTCATGAGAAAGAGGTTTTCGAGAGCCAAGAATGAAAACTGATAGTTAAAAGGGGGTATTTCCAACGTGGGTTCGTTTTCACACAGGAGGGGAAAAGCATTTGCACTGAGAGTTGCAGTTTTCGGAAGAAACGCAGCCTCAGCAGGGGGAAAAAAAAAAAGAGGAATATGGACCAAAAGAAAAAAAAAAGGAAACCCCCTCCCACCCCGAGAAATATATGAGGCAGGGGTCAACAATCCGCTGCTTTCCACTGCAACCTCTTCTCCTTCGGAGGATCTTCCCACATTCCCGAGAAAACGGCATGGAAATCTGGCCGAAGAACACGGATTTGCAGAGGGCAATTTGCATTTTTGCAAAACTTAAGATTGCACCTTGTTTTCCACTTCAAAATGGTGTGAAAGTTTCTGTCCAGCACCTTGTAATGTCACTCTTCTACCTCAAAATCTGAGCCCGGATTTTGAAAATTAAAACGGGTTGCTTGGTTCCAAAAAAGGCAAGGAATTTTAACTCCGGGGTCAAATTCTTTTCTTGTTTTCTTTAGTGGAACGCCTTGATTCGTTTCAAATGTTTAAAGAATAAAGAAAAAAAACTAGAAAGAAAGGGGGGGAAAGGGGGGGGGAGAATGGAGTGGGTGAAGAATAAAACGTCCTAAATGCAGCTAGTCCTCAGCATGCAACCCAAAGTAGGGCCAGAATTTCTGCTGCTAAGCAAGGTGGTTGTTAAGCGAGTTCAGGCCCGCTAGTACAACCTTTGTGGTCGCGGCTATGAAGTGAATTGCTGCAGTTGTTAAGTGAATCACAGAGCAGTCGTTAAGTGAATCCAGCTCCCCCCCATAGAAAGCCAGATGAGAAGGTCACAAAAGGGGGATCACATGACCCTGCAACCGTCATAAGTACATGCCAGTTGCTAAGCATGTGAATTTTGAGCATGTGACTGTGGCGATGCCGGAACAGTCATAAGTGTGAGGACCGGTTGTCATTCACTTTTTCCAGAGCTGTTGTAACTTTGAGCAGTCTCTAAATGAATGGCTGTAAGTCCTGAATCACCTCTGAAGAATATCCCTAGACTTCAGGAAAAAAATCCATTATTTCATAATAATAACATTGAATGGATTTTCATGGGATTGAATTAAACGGCTGAGCAATAGGATTCCTGTCTTCCTTTCTCCCCCTTAAAATGATCTCCCTGCAGTTTGGGACCAAGATCAAACCCAACGATCAGGCTGTAGAATGGAATGGAATAGAAATAAAACTAGAAGGCAATGGAATAGACTAGAATAAGAATGAAACAATAATAGACTAGAATAAGAATGAAACAATAATAGACTAGAATACGAATGAAACAATAATAGCATAAAATAGAATAAAATAGAATAAAATAAAATAAAACAATAATAGCATAAAATAGAATAAGAATAAAAGAAGAATAGAATAAGAATAAAAAAATAGAATAGAATAAAAGAAAAGAAAACAATAATAGAATAGAGTTTAGAATGGAATGGAATAGAAATAAAACTAGAATGCAATGGAATAGACTAGAATAAGAATGAAACAATAATAGACTAGGATAAGAATGAAACAATAATAGAATAAAATAGAATAAGAATAAAATAATAATAGAATATAATAGAATAAAATAAAATAATAATAGAATAGAAAGAATGAGAATAAAACAATAATGGCATAAAATAGAATAAGAATAAAAGAAGAATAGAATAAGAATAAAAGAAGAATAGAATAGAATAGAATAAAACAATAATAGAATAAAAGAAAAGAAAACAATAATAGAATAAAAGAAAAGAAAACAATAATAGAATCGGGTTTAGAATGGAATGGAATAGAAATAAAACTAGAAAACAATGGAATAGAATAGAATAACACAATAGTAGAATAAAATAAAATAAG